GTTGTCTTAGCTCTCCTTTCTTACTATTAATGTAATCTTATTAGATTTACAGAATTACTTTTATTCCTATTATTATTATTATCTACAAATGGCTACGCTCATAAATGCTGATACGATCAATTTGGCTTAGTCTTTAAATTTGTCAGAATATGTCGATTTTCTGCATCGGATTCGCTACTTGTTCAAACCTTAAGTATTGCTTAGTTCTCAATAGTCATATTTACAATCAGATGAAGAACAATAAGAATACTTATGTTTACTATTCTAGCATTTTTTTAAATTAAATCTCAATCTCTTTTTCATTTTGTATTGCTTATCTGCCTCAGTTTTACTACTTTGCAAACCAAATCAACATAAAGCTGCTTCATTTGAGTGAACAGCTAGATCACGCACTTGAACGCGATGACTGGGAACATTGTGACGGCACACCGGAAGAGGCCCGTCAGTTGGCCAATATTCTGAAAGTAAGTGCATTTACGTGTTTAAACTGAACTGAAATGCATAACGCATTCATCTGAGTCTGTGTGTTTCGTAACATCTATAGATAACAAACACAGTGAGTAGGTTGTTTGCATGATCCCCTGTTTCTGCATTCATCCAATTGTAATCATTTAGTCAGTTTTGCACCTGAGATGCTGATTTGTGTTTCTAGCATTTACACGATGAATTTACAGTATCATATATCTCCTGTTTTCGCAGAACAATATCATCAGCTGCTTGAGATGAGCATGCTCACATGAGGTAATCGGCGTTAGGGTAAAATTGAAGTTTAGCCTCTTGCCGTAACTGAAGGGGTGTGGCAAATCCATTCATTGAAAAGTACAGAATCTTTTCACGAAATGTACGTTAGCCGGCGTGACCAGGAAAAATGATTTTCGTCACTGTTGCTAACACACATTGATGAGCCTAAAAAGTGGCCTTTAGTTTAATGTAGTTTAAACTGAACCAGAAAAACCAACGGTCTCATTATTGTATAAACCAGTAGTGATATGTGTGTTGTATCTGCACACCTCTGGTAGCATTATCCTCAACCAGGAAGAAAACACAAGTCACGGAGCTGGAAAAGGTCGATTACATGATAATAGCTAGTAATGACTGGACAAAATTTCCCTGGAAGCACACAACCGGTTTCGCAGTTCTTACCACTCGACAAGCATGCGTATCCGGTAGTCTTTTGTTTTTTATTCATATACTTATACCATAGAAATGTGTTTTAGTCACAATCACTTCATTTGCAACACCGAGTAAATTTGTTTGAACAGCTCTTTCAGAAGCAGTCCATAGCACTGATTCTTCAATGGACTGGTTCTGAAACAGCCATCCAAACAAATTTACCCGGTGCTGCAGTTGAGGTTATTGTGAAGAAAGGTCCATTGTAATTTTACCAAATCGGAAGGCAAGGCAAACATAAGATGCATACAGCAATAGAAAGAATGCACTGGGCCGAATAGTGGTCGCGCGGTGTGTAGTAAAGCTGTCCAGCCACGTGCAGCCCAATAAACGTGAACTGACACCACTTGCACTGCATGCAACGATATGACTTGAACTCTCACCATATCTCCCCCTCTCCTTTCGAAAGATTGGAAGCGCATTCACTCGGTTGGACTCCCAAGTGATGCATGCCGTTGATGTGATTTCTTGGAGTGTTGGAGTGTTTCATTTCGACGTGTGATTTTTCCGGGAATCAAGCTATCCAATCCATTACAAAATTGCGCATATAAACTTGTTCACCTTTCATGAATGTTCCTAGTCTGATGTCAGTGTTCGTGTCGTGGTGCGTGATCAGGTAAGAACTCAAGCAGGCTGAATTCATTCGTCGACCTAAAAGCGGTCGGTACAGCTCATGTTGAACCCGGTGCACGGTTTGAGTTGAAACCAGGCATTTTGGTGCACCGATCTTTTGGCGTTCCATTTGGATAAAAGAGCAGAATGAAGAGTGGAAAGTTGAAACCAAATTCAAGCGGAACATGGAGAATTCATATAGAGTGGTATTAGGAGAATAATGAGTGAATTCACGAGTGCCACTGTTTGCGACACCCAGTCATACCACTCAGTATCTCTAACCATCGTTGACCATCATCTCGGGGTCCTCAGCCAGGGAGCCTAACAGGGCCTATGTGACCTAGTCACCTGGTTATGGTTTTCACACCCTCGTTTGACTACCCTTAACCTTTTTCCAACCGCTACCTAACTCACCAAACGTCGCTCGCCGCGGCAACCTATTTGGTGACATGCGTAACACATGCCCCAACCAACGTAATCTATGCAGATCGACCACTTGCTCCAGTGGACGACCTCAAATGAACATTGGGTCAAATTTAACACTTAATGGTAAACTTCGTGTATTTGTGTGTGTGTGTGTGTGTGTGTGTGTGTGTATGGGGCAGATCCTATGCATAAGCAATAACAATGGGGTCATCCGATCGTCCGATTACTCGTGGATTGAGTATTCCATGAAGAATCCATGATCATTTGTAACAGTGATATCCGCGATAAAACTCGACCGTTTCATTCTTGTATGTAACTCTAATCCTAGTACAAACAAGTGCAACGGGGTAATGGTGATGGTTNAATGGTGATGGTTTTATTTGATGGCCCACATATTAGGATGCGCTGTACAAACATTTGTAACGTTTTTCCAAGTTTTCACTTATCCAATAAAACCGCACAGCGTCCTCATGTATCGCCACTGATTATCGCTGACTTCTTATTCAGTTCATCACCTTTTCTCCTCTCTACCACCTGGAGACCTTCTCAGTGGCGTACAGATTTCCCGGGAGTCAGGTTCAAGTAGCCCACTGCTTCAGATTTGATTACTGTACACTTTGTTAAAGTTGGAGTTATTACGCCTCCTTCTCAGAGTCCTTCAAGTGTTCATATTTTTTGGTAATTCCGATGTGTGAGTTTCTTCTTTAGGGATACGCCGACCCTGAATCATCTTTATAGCGAGGGTGGTAAGCTGTTTCTGCACAGACGGAAGTAGTTAACCCCTCAGTTGGTTACAAAATGAGTAGACCGTTATTGTTCTCCTTTGAACAGAATGCGCTCAGTCAATACGAACATATATCGGCTGAGTGTGAACGTCTTAAAGTTCGAAGTCAGACAATCGTACCAATTTATTTACGCACTCAACCTCTACTGGAACCGGTTCAAGGAGTCATGTTGTGCGACTACGATGTGGGTAGCCATAAATTTCGCTCCGGTGATCGTGTGACAGTTGTGAATAATTGGGCTCCTTTCAACTCCAATTTCATTCGCCGAAGCTCCAGTCAAAGGCCTCAGTCCAGTCAAGCATACGCAGAGACAACCGTGATTCCCGAAGTTGAAGATGAAGAAGTTAATGACCGCAAATTGGCTCAATCTAGCTCATTCGTTCAAAGCATCAACCAACCGTCGGATGCAATGTACAGTCCGGTACAAACTGCAACACCGTACTGGTGTGTGTGTGCACTGGGGGAACAAGAAATCCGCGTCGTCCCCGCGGTCACAGTTTGCCTTATCCCATCGGCACCTGACACAATCAGGACCATAGAAAAGTAAGCAATTCAGATAAGTCATTCATTGTTTTTATTTAAAGTTTTATGAAATAATAACTTAGGTCATTTGTGGCTAATTGGTTTTAATCCGCAGACGTGATAAACATGAAGAGCAAAACTGTTTATTTTGAATGCACTAGTTTTGGAGTAGAGTATTTGTACTTCATTTCTGATGATCGATCAAAGAGCCTCAAAATAACTATTTTGCTCATATTTGGGCTCATCAGCAGTAGGTAGTATCTTTCTCTTGTTTACACTCAAACCAAGAACTTTTGTGTTAGAAGCTTACCAGCTTTATTCTGTTCTCTTGGAGAAGTAAATATCCGAGTATCTAACCTACCAATGATAAAACGACTTGGCAATACTTCAACGAAGCTTTGATAAAATGTTACAATTTCCAATCAGTTCTCCCACGCAAAGGTGATTAAACCACCCGAAATTTCCAGTGGTGCGTCAGTTTCGCATTCATTAAATTTTTGAAACATTTGTAAATATTTCTGTAGGTGCTTTTGAATTTGATGAAAACTTTTAAACGATCAAGTTTTCTTCTTTAGATTTAGAGTATATGGAAGAAGAGAAGGAGTTAAAATTTTGAAACTTTGCGCGTTCGATTCATGTGGCTAATTAAAACAAGTTAGTGGAGAGCTATTTTTTACTCAGTATTAGAGTTCAATACCTAGTATTAAAAACCTCTGGAATTGATATATGACTGCTTATTGTTTGCAGGGAATCAATAATTGTGTATTTTCATCAAGCAATGAAGAGCTTAAACCTGAGCACACAGGATTTTGAGCCCCACACGTTGCCAATAGACTTCCCCAGCTAGCTCTCATGGTTGGTTTTATTCCAGTTCCTCAAAATTGGTCACCCATCTTCATCCATTATCCAACGTTGAGTGCAGTAGTTAAACTAGAGTGGTGATCCTTCTTGGGGGAAGCGTTCTGTGAGCAGAGATCTGTACTTCACAGTGACCTCATTGTTAACTTTTAGATTCCTTAAGTCACATGTAAAACGGGACAGATATAAACTGATAAAAAATATTATTGACAAAAGAAACAACAGATTGCATTCTTCTTTCACATCACCTAAATTGATTGTCGTCTCTTCAAAGATTACACGAAAATACCGACTTCGATGAACCCCAATTTTTGTACAGTGATAATAGTTAATTTTTGTTGTGAAATTTGTCAGGGAGTCCGCGCGCTTAATAAAAACCTCATTGTTTCAGCTAATTCACGCGGGTCATAGGTTCGAATCTATATAGATTCAGTCAAAACTATTCATTTTTCTTCCAGTTTACGACGCTTCGCTGACCACGAGATCTTAAATTGATTACGATCCACCCTAAAAAGAAAAAAAATGTAATGATGTGCATACATATATCACGTTCTCCCTTTTTCATATAAATGACAATGTTTTTCATGCAATCAGCGAATTTCCCCGTGCATTCGGTGGTATTCTGGTGCATTTATTGCTGCGTTGTTGTCCAGTTTAATAGCGTTATTGTGGGTATTATTATTGATTGATTTGACTGACTATCCTTCGGGATTCATCTTCACGCACAATCCTCAGTTCATCGATTCAACCATTCACTCGGAAGCACTAGACTCGATTTTCGCTCTTATTAGAGCTCATCAGTAGTTCATATCCACCGTCCCGTTTGCGATTTGAACTCCGGACCCATCGCATGGAAGGCGTGTGCATTAGCACTGTGCCAACCTACTCATGCCATGGCTGAACCAAATTGTCAATTCATGTTTTTTCGGGTGTTGTCTTCAGTGATAGTCAGTCAGTTCATTTAGCCCGAAAGTCAAATTAATCAATATCAATTATCCCACAGACATACACACACTACTCACAATTAACTGTGAGTCAAATGCGAAGAGTTATTACTCGAGAATCCCATATTGAGGTGCTTTTGGTTTTGTAAAACAAAGAATCGATCACCCGCGTATCATGTCAATAAATTCAACCTATCATTTGATAACTCGTGACAGTTTTCCTCAAATAGAAAGACGGAGTGCATTTTAATTACGACTCGGTTAGATCGCTTTGTCCTGAGAAAGGTGCACATATATGGTATGGTTGGGTGCTATTAATCCCACTCTGTGTTCTAACGTTGAAGTTCACTCCATAGTTCACCAGGTAAACTACGGGACTTCGTTACTCCTTTGACATATTGGATAAAGTACAGCTGTACAACAGCGAGGAATAATTACATCCAATGGGGTAAACGAACGCCATCACCGAGGTCATGCATAATGCCTGAGATCGTGGATCGTGGATTGTGTCTTAGAAACGAAACGAACGGGGATCGGTTTGAAATTAGTTGAGCTAAAAAGGACCTGAGCATCAGTGCTCACCAGACGCCAACCGGAACTGTGCCTCAGCGTTCGTTTCCAGCCATCAGCAATAGGTTTCGGTGTGTTATGTTACCAGGCGAGGGGGGGGGGGGGGAGGAGTCTTCATTTTCTGAAGTGGGGTTAATACCATTTCGCAAGATTCCTAATGATCCCAGTCACCCACTGCTTGCCAACCTATCTGCCTACAATTCCCATGCCACAATCCAAGCTGCTTCTCGCCGCTTTGCCTCCCATTAAAACATGTCTTGATTCCAAAGTACTTTACTTAACTTACACTGTATCTGACAAGAGGAAGGTTCTACCAGGATTACATTTTGTCTATATTATATGAAACTTTCATCGTTTTCGTCCCAATGTAACGGTGAATAGAGTTTTTGACTGAAATGTAGGCGCATTTGCTAACGCAACGCAATACAATTCTCTGCATTCCCTCGGGCTGAAAACATGCTGGTACTTTGGAGCTACTTCTATTCAAACTAGTTTTCTGCTGGTATTTCCCGCCGTTCATTTAGTCAAATACAAAAACAGTGGAATATCATCCTGAGTTACAACTGGTTCCCGTTATTAGGTTGTGTTCACTAACCGATCCCATTCATTGGTTACCGTTGGAAGTATACTGGGGGTCAGTTCAGTTTGGTACCCCTGATTTATTGTCATTCTTCAAGTTTGTCCTTTTCATTAATTCACATTTGTTTATTTAACTTGCAATTTTATACATTCTTCATCGGTGATATGCTTTCCATTCCTATTGATTTTGCTGCATACTTCGAGCCTCTCCATGATTTCGCAATGCAGTGATATAACCGGGAATTTTCCTGGTTATTGCATATACTACTTTTGTGTGTCGAAAATTTTATGTTGCAATAAATATAAAATTAAAATTTACATCAATCCAAAAATTACCTGTTTATTTGGGATTACTGCAAAAGGTCAGTGTGATCCAGTGAAATACTTCCTAAGTTAAACCACAAAATTCCCTCGCCCGTTACTGATGTGCATTTTGCTGTTCCCGGCATGTTTTTCTGGCCTTCTATTTCACCAGTGTTCATATACATCCACTACACCAGGGTGAGGCTGGTTGGGTTCCATCAGCAGTGTAAATCCATCGACCCCACTGAGGATCGAACCTGGGACCTCACAGGTAGAACGTAAGCATACTACCCACTCAACTATCGGGCAGTTGATCAAACCATTTTTCACTTTACTTATACATAATATAGCATAATCTATCTGTTCGATCTTGTTGTGAGTATCGCATCTCACTTATCTCAGCGCTATCCCTTGGGTTTGTGACTCAGCCGGAATCATTCCAACCTGACCACTTGTTACATGGGATTAGTAGAGGATTGGGTTCAATCAAATAGTAGATTACGTTTTATAGTGCCGTATAAAAATAAAGATCCGTTTGTTTTGATTTTTACTGACCATCCTTCAGACTTCACTTTCACACAGTGCTCAGTTCATCCAGCCAACCATACATTCGGGTAGCGCTAGTCTCCATATTGGCTCTCATTAGAGGTCATCAGTTAGGCTTATACCACGTTCCGCCAAGACTTGGAGCTATGGACTGATCACATGAAACACATGTGGGTTACCACTGGGCCAACCAGCTCACTTCAAGACTGACCAGAATCGCAAATCCTGCTTATTTTCAGTGGTTTTCTTCAGTGATAGTCACTCGGTTCATTTTTGTCAACAATGGTAATTGTGTCGAGTTGGTTGTTTTGTCTTCACTATCTGTTTTCTCGTTACTTAACATCTCTTTCTCGATAGAATGAAAGAACAGCTAAGAGGAAACTGGAAAGAGACGATCGATCGACTCTTGAATGCAGCAGGAAACGTTCTGCGCCAATTCCTTCATAAAATCATTGATAGTGGAGTGAGTTGACAATGGGATTTATTTTCTTCGGGCTGTTCTCTCTCTCCGTCGGTTGGTTAATCGTGTGTGCGTGTCACATTCATTTTACAGTTGACGCCGCAGTTCTTATTCCACTTTGGTAATTTACCGCATCGTTAATTTTATACCATTGAAACAATATGTTAACTGATTCGAGAGGATTGTGAGAATTGCGATTATGTAAACCGATTGGTATGCTCGAATAATTCCGTACTGGAAAATGAAACTAACTTGAGAGGGGAACCACATAGTAAACGAAAGATGTATCTATCTACAGTATGCTGTGAGCGAACATTTTGAATACGAACAATCATATTCATTGGAACTATCGTATTATCGTAGTTGCCTCTCTGCCTCCATCTGATGATTGATTTTGTATTCCGGGATCCCTGCTTTGTATACATCAACTTATCACCGTCTGGCACGCTAATCTCAATTACACAATAGCTCTGTTGTTTTCAACGGATTCGTAGAATCAACTGAAAACACGAAGCCTGTTATTGTGTAACTTTTACCGGGTCGCTGTTCTGGTTACAGCTGAGGGCTTCGCTGTCCTTCGACTGAAAACTACATCTGCCCTCATACATATCGCTGGGGTTTATTTAGGTCGTGGGGCTTAGGTCGTTGGTTAATACCATTCATCATTGACTAGATCCTTTCCCCTTGCTATTTACTGTTCATGGCCCGAAGGTGTGTAACTAAGATCAGAAAGAAACATAAGCTTTAAATGGCGGGAACTTTTATATACCATTAGAGAAAGACTTATCACATAAACATATGCACCATCATTTCCGCAGTAGTTAATCTCGGTAACAACCAAAGACTAAAAGTGAATTATGAAATATTCAATTTACCGTGAACACATGGGGTCAGCAGCCAAACGTAAATATGTTACATGACATTGATTTGTAGCCAAAACAGTTATGAATATTCACCACGAAAACCATGGGGGATATCAAAAGTAGAGTGATGGTTTAACACACGTTTAGCTTACATTTGACCGATAAATGTTATCTTCCGGTTTGGAGCACATTAGGAGTAATCTGAAATTACGTGTTGAATTTAATTCAGCTAGTAACCGCAGTTCATATTACCTGTCGTATACAAGGAACAATACACGCTTTCGGCATTTCTCAGTCTGTTAACAACTTTCTGAATTAAAGAAAGAAGACGGCGTGGTTAAACAGATTAACTCGTATATAGCTGATCACCATTTTACATGTTCTTTACCCCCAGCTTGTCATGGTCACCGACAGGAGTGCTCTCAAACGTCTATTCGCTTTGATCGCCGAGTCCTATCCGTGCAACAGACACAGTGAGATGAATGCAGATATTGCCGGTTTGGTGGATGCGGCACGTGCCACAATAACCGAGATACATGGTAACTGCCTGGTATTTGTCTGCCAGATTCCTGTGTGTTATTTGTTACAGGAGCAACACCAGGAAGAAGAGGATTGTTTCTGAGACGAAGCGATATCGCCCAGTATATGAGTGTGATTGCCACATTGCGAGTGAGTGTGTTTTCATCTATCGATGTTCTGCTTGCTTAACTTCACCAATCAGAAAAGGGAGTAACATTTTCAGTACCTATGGAGACTCTATTCGTAAAACATGTGAAGTGTACGAAACTGTTTTTCCTTGTGAGTGAATACAAAAATGTTTTATATTTCCGTGAAACAAGTGTATGCACACGTACACAATGAAACATCTCGGTCAAATAAACTCGTGCATGCTGATCTCAGCCGATGAATTCAAGGTTCTACCCAATTACTAACCAATCACGTATACATCAAAGATGGGAGTCGGCGAAGACATTAAAATTAATTGAGAAAAGAATGAAGGTTCATCAGGAAAATCTTCATGTAGTGAAACCCTTATTTGTTGATTTAGGAGCGGAGTAAGTGATTTCACTCGACGATTTCCCCAACTAGGTAACACAGACAGTTCATCAATCAACTGGAAACAAGAGTAAGTAAGCAGTGATAAGTGTTCAAAGAAAACCAACGCAGTCAATGTTTGTAAAATAGGGCATTTCAAATAATTGTTCAAGTGAAATCTCAAACTAACCAGAAAATTATTCGTTTATTTTGGTTGTACCGCAAAAGAAAAAAAGAAAAAAATGAGTAAAATAAATAATCAAAGATGAAAGGCAAGATAAAAGGTTAAAAAACAAGCAGCGATACTGAAAGGTTCAATGATAACTTTTTTCTCCGGAAATTGGGAATATAGTATTGAGGGGTGAGAGCTTTGGCCAAATTATTACACTAGGTGCATTTCAGAAGCATTTGAGGACATTCATCAGCTTCGAACACCAAAGCACCTAAAAGATTTCCACCCAGTTCATTCATAACTTGTTTTTTCCATCCCAGGTTATTTACTTTCTAAAGTTAAAGGTATGGAATTACAATTTGATCTGTGCGCAATAATTTATCGTTAGTCTCAATTTGGGGGGTTAATGACGTTGGAAATCGCTTAAAACTGGAGTTGTGGTACCACATGCAATTGTGAAATGCAATTCTGATACATGGGCAGCTTTGTGTGAGATGGTGTATGGAAGAAAACTCATGGATTCCGCTTGCATAGGTTGTTACACAGTCGATCGGTCTCTGCCAAAGTGGTGAAATAACATATCGTTTTATCTCCTCTATCACTGATGCAATACACAAAGGCACGTATGTAGCACATTTGATTGGTAAATTCTTGTCAGTGGATGTGTACAGAAACAAAATACTAACTCCACAGCATTGTAATGGAGAAGTAATAGGATTAGTGATACCACAATAATCGCCAAAAGTGTTGGTGTACCGGTTGTTCGAAAGAGGAAGAAGGATCACGATTTTACGAAGTAATCCATCTCAAAGTGTGCTCCGAAAATCGGTCAGTATCGAACTAACTTCTGATGTGCGCCAAAAGCTGACGTCCGCTCTAGACCGCTTACTTCCGGCTACTCCACTGAAACTTATTGCTTGTAGTTGTGGAGATGATTTGGACAGATGCAAATATGGTTATCTAACCAGTTGTCCCGTGAATTGTATACGAATTCACCTGCATGTGTAGTGACTCATCCATAGGCAGATCAAACAGCCTACTATCACAACGAATGACCGAACTCATTTCAAAGTGGTTGAAGAAATCGATGACGCCACCTACTTTAGATGATCAGGAAAACAACACGCAGTTGACCTTGTCCCATCCTTCCAGCCCTTATTACGTTACCGTTACTCGATACTGTTGGCAATCAGTGAGGCGCTATGAATTCGATTACATGATGCAATGTTTTGTGTCGAAAAGTGATTGAAGCAATCAACTCACTCACCGTGGGGTAAAACATCTGTTTGTTCTTTTGCATGAACACGTCCGTTTACTGGATCTCATCAACCAAAATGCTGTATATGACGTGCCTGTTAATTTAAGATCAGCAGTGGAAGAGATCAAATGAAATGTCAGCATCTCGGTCTATAGAAGCAATGATTGGAGGAACTAAGAGTTCGTCAAAAAAATGTTTGTAATGTGGATCCATTTTTATATTGTGATGTGTTAGAACTTTTAAATAGTAGCAATTCGTCATCTGCTGCAGACCAGGACGGTTGACATCCAGCCCTCTTCAAATTTGGTGCTGATTCTCTAGCTGAAGCAATCACCTCCATTGTAAATGAATCTCTTAACACTTCTACTACCCCCGAATGTTGGAGGCCGATCACAATCATACCAATCCCCTAAACATCCAAACCTTCTATCCCCTCCAAACGTTTTCATCCCATTGTATTACCATCTTCAGCACTTAAATTAACTGAAAAGGCTATCCTCGAAAGCCTTCGTCAGTGCATACACATTCCCAGTGATCCGTTTCAGTTTGTTTACAAGCCTAATAGATCCACCTTAGACGCAGTCTCCAACCTCATTCATTTTATCACTGTCTTTGAACAATTCTGTTAAGTCCGTTCGATGAGTTTTTCTGGACTACTCTTCAGCATTTGATTCCAGTCCTAGATTTAAGTTATTACAAAACTTGGATACCCCAAGCAGTTGTTAGCTTGGCTATCCAACTATTTTGTTTATAGAGAACCAAACCACTAGATTGGGGAAGGCTTCAACAAAACCCTTAGTCAACAACTCCGGAGTTCTTCAAGGAGCTGTGCTATCCACATACTTATTTCCCACTTATATTTGTGGTATTCCCTGTGTTTCTCTTCTCCGAATTTTGAAATATGCGGATGATGTCGTGTTGTGCCAACCCATTTCTTCTTACTCCAATCGAAGCTCTTTCACCGACAACCTTGAACAAATTCAGTCATCCTCCTCTTTATCGGGGCTGACCCAAAATCCTAGTCAATGTGTTGAGTGTTTATGTGGTTTTGCTCACTCTATACATCCGACAAACCCCTCAGTTATTATTAACAATCCTTTATCTATGGTGAACTCCGTCACATATCTTTGTGTAGCTATAGATAGCAATCTTTATTTGCCAGCCCACATTCACAAATGCATTGGTAAGCTGAGGCACCTATCATTTCAAATAGAAAGCTCAAGCAGTTTCGCACAACCCAGTCAGTTATTTCTACCTTTGTTTATCAGTGTGCTTTCCCATATTACTTTGTTGTTCCGTCGTTGATATGCAGGATTGAAAGGTGTTACGCCACGGTTTACCTATTATTAGCCGCGTTTCTTCTAGTCCTTTGAATGAGTTATCTTTAAAGCTTTCAGAGTATCATACAATTTCCTGTGTGAAATTTGCGTAGAAAATACTCACAGATCCCGACCATTCATTGCACACCGAACTGATACGTTTTTGTTCCCATTTATCCACACACTCCCGATTCCACTAAATATTACCTCGTATAAGCGCTGATCGAAATCCATCTACACATTATCTTGCACGTGTACTCACAAGTAAAGACAAGGAAATAAATGAACCTCATCCTTACCTCGGACTATAGAATGCCCCTGTCTGTAAGCATTCTTACCCGTTGAATGTGTTCACTGTGACGGTTGGCGTGTACAGTTTTTTAACGGATATGTAAGCTTTAGTGCTAGCAAAAGTTATATACGGTGCAACACAACTCAAAATTTATTCACCGACATTTTACGGTTTTGCCAATTTGCATAAGATTGGATGGATACCGTCATTATGCAAACGTTATTACGAGAACACCAAGTATTTTATGCTTTACATGCTACGGTCAATCTCCTGCTATGTCGCACCCCTCGGGAATTCCAAAAAGTGGATAAAGTCCAGGAACTGTAAAAAAGCATGTTAGTCAGTAGTCGATGCTATTAAGTAGTAAGAGAAATCAGTTGAGAGTTTTGTGACAAAAAAACTGGATCGATGAAAAGTACGTTAATACCGTTACTTCCCCCCCCCCAAAGTTAATAATTATGTAGCCTTTATTTGCAACGGAATTTACATATACCATGCTGCATATCCTTTATAAATCCAACAAATTGAAATCTTTTACGATGCCCTCAGCATAATAATAGTACTTGGCATCCGGTATTCAGCCCTTTTTGAGTTTCATGTTTCTAGTTATACCGAAACTATCTAACTTTCCTCAGTGCATTTTTTTTAACCCAGTTATCGTATGTTAATTCCAGATGATTCTCCATTCCTTTGCGATGTTCGGCTAACCACAGAATCGAGTATGTGGAATCCATCATAATAAGCAAAACATTTTAACGATTATAATCATAGTACCAATATCACTTCATTCGATGAAAAGAATTAGCCAGGTTGAACATTGGAAAAAATCGCATTCGAAGGAAATCACATCATCTAAGATAAGTAAGATATCTGTTACGGGCTATACTCAGTAAATTGACCTCTCACATATTCCAACCTGATTGTTTGCTGTACAATCTATCCGTGATTTTCTAGTGAAAAATATGTAGCATTAACCCTGTAGACATCTACTCGTTATTACGCTTTTCTTGTTGCCAGTGTTTGCTCCAGCCGATTGATACATTCGTTATGCTTGAGGCATAGGGTCCTCTTTATCCATTTTATCAATATAGAAAGAAGACAAATGTCGCGGGATGTTGACACTTTTACAGCATTTCAACTCAATCCATCCACATCTCTTTGTACTCCATGAATTAGAATGGGCTTGGAAGAACTCTATTTCATTGGAGGGGGGGGGATTTTTTCACCAGACGCACTGAAGGAAGAACAGGATTTTTTGAGGAGAACACTACTAAACATTGGTTACCCAGAAAGGTTCATGGATATTTACAGTAGACCATTCCCAAAAGGTAACTTAATCCCAAACGTTAGCAAAGGGACCATCTACTCGAAGCTTGCATTCAGAGGTGACCACATTTACGATAATGTGTGCCATAAGTTTAGGTCACTTCTAGATCGTATATTCCCAGCTGCTCAACTCAGACTCATCGCCTATACTCGTGGAATTAAGCTGGGCAAAGGAAAAATGGCAATCTCATACACTGCATACCAGTTTACCTGCAGTATGCGGTGACTCATACAGAACAAACCGCTAAATCTCCCAACGGATAGCCTGACATATTACAGTGTTCGGTGAAATCGATGAGGCAACCGGTAATTGATAGTCAAGAAATGCAGGGTATTTTGTTGCAAAACATGTCACGGTAACAAGACACACAGCTAACCCCAATTCGTCTTTCAAACCACTCTTACGTAATCGCAATGTTAAACTCTTGGCAATTAGTGAAGCGCCGTTTAATCGATTATATCACCCGACTTTATACGTAAAAAGGTTTTCGACATAATCAATTTCATTACCGTGGAGTTGACCTACTTCCATGTTTAGTGATCTTTGTATACTTGTACACGTTCATTCGTCATAATTGAATAACCCCATGTGCTATATCTATGCTTGTTTGTTTTAAGTAAGCGATTGAGAAGATGAGAGAAAATGTTAACATCTCGCGACATTTGTCTTCTTCCTATATTGATGATATTCATTACGGTCAGCATCGGTAAGCATAAGTGACGGACTAAGTTCAATAAGTGATTCGTGAATTTGAATTGCATCGCTCAAACAGTCAAAGGAGCATCAGACCTGGGTTATGATGACCTTTCACCGGTGTGATCGACTTTCACTCATTCACACAGGTGTGGCGTTTATCGATTGCTTGTATCTGACATTTGATATCTTGCTCCATACACCGGCTCAGCAGTCAATCGCGATTATAGTTCACTCGTTTACACGTTAGTGTGACAGAACCCATCGATAGAACGAATGGTAGTGGCCTTGGTGACCCTCGCAATAAAATTGACCACTTTCGGATGCCCCACAGAATTACCTTGAAATTCTCGTTGGTCTTCAGGTGGCATCTTTCCTGAGATGCTCCAGCATTCACAAATTATCCGATAGTGGTTCAGTGGGATATAATACTGTAAACGGTTTTTCTTGAAATGCTAATTGTTTCGGCTACGGAGCTCTGAGTTGCACTTGACTGATTCAACATTTTCAACACATTCTGATCGATGGGCGTTGTTGCAATTTGAAGTCAAGTGACGCTGCCTTCGATTGTCGGCAGCGGTGTCTTCCTTGCATAGATTATCCAATCTATGAACAGTGTCACGTTCGCGTCACACTAAGTGAAACGCCACTGGCCGAGCGTGACATTCCAGGATGGTTGGTCAATGGCCGTCCCGAGCATTGGTCAACGACCAAGTGAGTTGGTATCAGGAACTGCGATATATTGAGGGGCGACATTGCATTAGGTTATTACGCATGCGGTTGGTTTGGGTTTTCCAGAAAGTGAGGAGATATTAGAAAATTTGAACTCTCGGGGGGTGCGACAGCAGGAGATTGACTGTGTTCAGTTTATTTCTTCTTATCTAACTAATGGAACCCATGCAGTCGTAGTTGATTGTTTTTTTAATATTTCTTGCGACATTACTGGTTAGTAATGAAGATACGACGTTCGAAAAAATAATACCACACAGCGGCTTGAAAAAAACCCTAAGAGGAAAACCTTTCTTGAGCAATTAACAGTAACTACCACCCCGTTCAAATGGGAAGTACTCTGAGAAATTTGGCATGTAGATACCGCGATCTTTTTCGGGATTACATATGACTTTACTAACTTGATCTTGATACCAACAAACTAAAATTTCGATCGTAAAAATAATTTGTCGAAAAAAGCTGATGTTATATCTCTGTATTGATTGATGACACTTGAACTCACATTCTATAACACACATCCAGATGCATATGCACAAATCAGAACGGCTCGAATCACAATGTGCTTCAGCGACGGTGTATGAGAAACTGCAGGAAAAGCAGGACGCAGAAATGAAAAGGATGATCCTTGCGGTAAATGCAATTGAGTGAGTCATTCATGAAACTTAAATTTTTTCATATGGCTGCAAGCGGTTTACAGCGTGTTGGTGAAATTACATGTGTATGCGTGTGCGCGATACATGTGCCAACCCTACGCTTGCAACTTTCATTTGTCCTGACACCACCACCACCGCCGACAACAACAACAAACATTGACACTCATATTGATTAGTCAAATGGATCTCCCGCTCAGAAAAGCTATTTCAAATTATTTGCTCAGTCATTCTGTTGATTGTATGAATGCTATAATTAATATATACAATCTTGTATATAACTTTACAGCCAAATGCAGTGATAATTGCAACTAAAATAATCTACATTATGTGAAAATCCCAACAGTACATACACATCCTTGCATAAGAATACTAGATTTGCTCTTTGAATTGAAGTTGGTGACGTTGAAGTTGGGGAATGAAATCATATCCAACATTTCATGGCATTAACCTGTTTATATATATATATAT